CAGGCGGACGGGCCAGAGGAGGGAACCGGGGCTGCGGGGGGACCCACGTCTCAGGGGCGGGCCGCCCAGGGCAGGGGGCCTCCCAGCGCAGGGGACGCCCTCTCCGTCCCAGGCCGCACGAAGCAGGGCGCCCGGCCCGGGAAGCCCAGACCAAGCCTGGCGGGGAGAGAGCGCGCGGGGCCAGAGACCTGGGCGGAAACCGGCCGCCGGAGCGCCCGCTGCTCCGTAGCTGTCCCGGGCCCCGCCGCCTGCCCTCAGCGAAAGCCTCTCGCCCGAACCCAGCCCAGCCCGGCCCGGTCCGGAGACCCGCGGGGACGCGGGGACACCGGGACGCGGGAGCCGGCGCCGCGGAAGCAGTACCTGCAGGAACGCGGTCAGTCAGCGGCGCCGCGGCGCGCTAAGGTTCCCGCGCGCACACAGGCCCCGCCCTGTGTGGGCGTGGCTACGGACGCCACGCCCCGGCCCAGCCCCCGAGGACCGTCCCGCGCGGCTGAGTCATCCAATCAGGACTCGCGCCAACACCTCATTCATTCCCGGCTGAACCCACGCACGGGTGGCAGAATGCGTGAGCTCGCCGATTCATTCGCTCAATCTTTTCTTCCCTTGTTGACTCATTGTTTTAGCAAACATTTACTGAAAATCTGCTCTACGCTGGACCCAGTGCTGGCGCTGAGTATACAGTGGATAGGGAAGCTGACTCAGACTTACCCGCAAGGGTAAAAGGGAGAGAAGTCCCGTAGGACGGCGGGGGGACTGTAACTCTGACCCGCCCAGGACTACCGAGTCTGTCTTTCACTGGGGCAGCGGTATGGTACAGTTGTAACCTGTTTCAGGCCCTGTCTTGGTCTCTGGAGTTTCAAACGTCAATAAGACGCAGAGGCTATCTTCGAGCCTCCTGTAGTTATGTTCACAAATAATTATAATAAAAAGATAAAGTGAAAAGCAGCGTGAAAGGACAATTGTGCTCTTACAGTTCTGAGGACGAGGTTATTTTGGATTCAAAGGCTCGAAGTTTGAAGAGAAGGGAGCATTTAAAGTGGGCTTCAGGTGATAAAGTTTGGCAAGAGCAGCTCTCGGAAATCAGGATTCAAGTTAAATAAACTCAGAGTTGACAAGGGGCACGAAGTGGGAACAGTGGGACCTGGGGTGGGAAAGGATGGGTAGGGCAATGACCCCGAAGCCTTTGGACTAAATGAGCAGGTCAAATGGACATGTGTGTTTCAAAGGCAACTTTGATTCTCATTCTAAACTAACTAGAATCCTGTTGCATACATTAGTCTGGGAGCTTGGTGGAGACTAGATGGGCCATGACAGATGGACATCCACCTTGCGCTGACAGCAGGTTTCTGGGCCTCCAAGACCAAGGGACTTTGCAAAAATGAGTGCTGCCCTGTGCAGCCTTTCAGAAGAAAGCCTTCCCCCAGGTGACTCTCCCACTCCCCACCTTTACCCTCTTCTTTCTCTCTCTAGATATAGCACTGAAATCAACATGTCTCGTTCTCCTTTCGTAAACAAAAATTGAGATGTTTTTTATATATTGGCTTCTAGAACATTTTGGAGAGTTCAAAGCTCTGGGATTGTTCAATACTTGGATTGCTTACATTGTACCTCAATTAGCGGATGTGGTTATACACACTTTTTAAAAACAGAATTTAAGATTTTAAAGGGAGGTTGTAAATCAGAAGGTAAAAATAGATGCAGCTGACCTTTTCGAATGGGACAGTTTACCCTTGAGCTGCCTTGAAAGCCAGGAAACAAGTAACTTGGGATGCATAGCTTTTACTTCATAAAAGGAACATACAGGTTCATCTGAGGAGCCAACTATTCCTGGCATTTTTGGGAAAAAGAATTGACATGGATTCTTATATAAACACTGGTTGATGCTTTTAGCCAGTTGTATGAAAGGTATACAAATTGTCTACAAATGGATGTCTCATGTTGACAAGAATTAAGCTCTTAAAGCTCATTTCTACAGTAAACTAGGATAATGTAATACAGATATGCAGACTTTTCATGTTCTCTCTTAAGTTATGGCTAGGATTTAGAGAGCTTGGACTGGGAATGACAAATATGTACTGTAGATCATCTAGCTGTTTTAAAAGTACAGATTCCTGGCTCTGCCCAGCTCACTGATTTAGACTATCCAACTGGGGGTGGTGGTGGGGGGGGACAGGTACCTGCCTTTTCACAAGCTCCCAGGAGAGTCTGATAATCTTTCTGATTTGGAAAGCCCCGGATTAAATGTCTCATAACTATCAAGTTTCTCCACATTTCTGACCAATGTTGTCAATTCACAAATGAATCCTCTGACCATCTCCTGAGGTGCCAGGATTCTAAAGATTAAGACGCATGCTTAAACATACATGAAAGAATTGGCTTTCTTGGTGAAAAATTTTGAGACATGACGTCCATTCCTGCCTGGCGAGCCATCACCAGGAGCTGGTGACCCAGAGTGGGGCCCTAGACTGTGACAAATCTTTTCTTAAAAAGATAGACAGAGAGAGAAGTATTTGGTGGAGACCTGAGTTTGGCTCCAGGCTGGACTTAAGTTCCATCACAAGTCACTCTGACTGGATGCCTCAATAACCACTGAACTTCACTTTGGGCTCCAAGCACTGACTCTAGCAGAATCGTATCACTCCGAGGGGACCAAGGTTATTTGGTCTTTTATAGTGAAAATGAATATAAAGAGAATAAATCTTAACTTGGCTTTAAAAACCAATAAAAAAAAAAAGACTTCTCTGAGCCCACTTTCCTATCATTTCATTTTCTAAGTGTGAAAACTCTGGAATAAATATCTGAAGTCAGAATTAGTACTAATAAAACATTATTAAAGAATGGGGAATAAAAGTGCACAACAAATTTAACAGAAGAAAATTCAATACTGGGTTGGGAAAAGATGTTGAGCAAATTTTATCAGAATAAAAAGACAAGGGAAAATGGGAAAAGTTAGAAATCGGCACAGAATGCACAGGACCTCTGGCACACTGCTGGCTGGCGTGCAAAATGATACCAATCGCTATGGACACAGTGTTTCGTGTCCCTCCCAAATTCCTATGTTCAAGCCTTAATCCCCAGTGTGATAGTATTTAGAGGTGGGAGCTTTGGGAGCTAATTAAGGTGGAGGTTATGAGGGTGGAGCCCTGAGCATAGGATTGGTACCCTGATAAGGGGAGGAAGAGACTCGACTCTCTCTATCCCATGCCCTACTTCCTTTGCTATGTGAGAAGATAGTGAGAAGACAGCCGTCTACAAACCAGGAGTACCCTCAGGTTCTGGATCTGCTGGCCCCTTGATCTGGGACTTCCCTAGCCTCCAAAACTGTGAGAAATAAATGTTTGTTATTTAAGCCACCCAGTCTATGGTGTTTCGTTGTAGCGGCCTGAACTAAGACACAAAAACTGTAGGAAACTGTTAAGTAGTTTCTAAAAAAGTCTCAAATGTGTTTACCCTGTGACTCAGCAATTCCAATTCTTGGTATTTATATATATATGTAAGGGAAATGAGAACAGACTTGCACAAGAATGTTTGTAGCAGCTTTATTCATAATAGCCGAAATGGGAAAGACACCAAATATCCATCGACAGTAGAAAAGATAACCAAACTGTCATATTCATACAATGGAACTCTATTCAGCAATCAAAAAGAAACACTGACTCATGGAATAGTATGGATGAAGAAGCCTTACGATGAGCACAGGGATTATTTCCAGTGACTGGCAAGCACAGAAATGTGATAATCTCTCAAAGAAAGTTTAAACTTGTTCTGTCACCCAATGGCTAGAATGATATCGGTATTGGTACGCATGTATATGAATACATGTGTTTATATATGGGAAAAGCAAATAAATAATTATATGGTTAGGAATCAAAATTTCCAGCAAAAGAGAAAAGACCAGAATTCTAGAAATATAAAATCTTAAGAAAATAAATGAAACTTCTAAATTGGCAATATTGGTATATAGTCAATATATATTTTCTCTTAAAGAAAAAAGTATTTCCTAGCTCAGTTCACTAAGAAGACCTGGAAGAAATGTCCAAACAAGAAGCAATGAATATGTCTGTGCCTAGATTATGGTCTCTATGAAAAGAACCAGAGCTCCTTGGAGGAATGGCTGTTTCCTGTTCTAAAACAGAAAATGTATTAGATGAGCCTCAAACACCCTATTGTACCAGAAAACAAGAAAATTATCAAAGACTACTCAGGTTTCTATAATAAAGACACAAGAGTCAGTTTAGAAACCTCCAGCCAAAGTGAGACAATTTAACACTGGAAAATTGCCACAATGAACTGAAACATAGTAAATGTTAAAATTCACAAGTTCATAATGATATTAACAACAAAAAAACCAACTGGTTACCTTTGGAAAGTATTTAGGAAATAAGGCAGCAGTCAATCATTTACCCTGCCTATTTTATATGAACAATACCTCAGGAAAACTAGGTTTTCTTTATAGATTTCCCACCAACTCAAAAGGAATTGAGTTTGGCTCCAGGCTGGACTTGTGTACCACATTTCGCAACTCCTACATTAACAACAACAAAAAAACCAACTGGTTACCTTTGGAAAGTATTTAGGAAATAAGGCAGCAGTCAATCATTTACCCTGCCTATTTTATATGAACAATACCTCAGGAAAACTAGGTTTTCTTTATAGATTTCCCACCAACTCAAAAGGAATTGAGTTTGGCTCCAGGCTGGACTTGTGTACCACATT